ATAAGAAAAAAGAAGAAGACTTATAAAATATGCGAACAAAGAAAATGCTATGGCCTACTGCTGAGTCTCTATTCCAGTCTAAACATATCCAGGGCTTCTTCCTTCATTTCAGTGAACAATGGATGCTTCCTTTTCTGGCGTGGTCGAAAACTGGAAAAGGTGTCGCGGTCCAACTTGCACTTCCGTTTTCTATTTCCGGCCTTGGTTAAGCGTCGAAGTGAATGCGCCTTTTTCCGCATTGGGAAATGGCTAGTGTTGCCCTGCGACGATGTGATGACGCAGAAGGAGGCCGACGAGCTGGGTAGTGTAGCGAACGACACCACTCGTTGAGCCCGGGGGCGGAGGCGAAGAGGCCGCGTGACAGAGTTCCCGGGATTCTATTGATAGCGGCCAGCGGGGTGAGCATGGAAATGTCCCCGCCGTCCGCCGAACGGGTGGAACTCTCGACGGTGAACGGTGGGGCACGAGCGTCGCCCCGCCCTAAGCGGCCGTGTACTCAGGGCGGGGACCCTGGGTTCGTGATTACACAGCCGCCGAAATGACAGTGTTCAGAGCGCGAACTCCCCGCATTGCTGATAAGCAAGGAGTACAAGGGTGGAGAGGAAGCATTCCTCCCTTCCCCCGGTATGGGGCGGCCTTATTACAGAAATGGCCGGCCGGGCTGATGGAGCCGCGGGTGAGTTCTGTACAGAATTCCCGTAGCTCCCCCTACAAAGCCTGTAGAAGGTAGCCGTCGAGATTTAGTGGGTACAACCCTACACTACTCTTCGGCCGTTCTCCCGGACGTGTGTCTGTTTTAGATTTCCTCCACGTAAAAAAAATGTATTCGAGTATGAGAATGAATGTATTGGTAAGTGATGAACGTGTGTGCAATAGATGAATGACGCGACTCTGTGTGCGTGTGTGCGCGCGCGCGTGTATGTGTGTGTTTTGAATAAATGTTTAAGGCATTGGAATATTCTAGACTAAATTGATTTTCTCTAATATTGATTTTTATGTTAATGATGTTCGTTTTTAATGAATCTAGAATATTCCAAATGTACGTGAAGTTATTACATGGTAATGGAAAGTCGTTCTAGTAAGTGTGCGAGGGAGATGAGAGCATCCAAGTGTATAAATATTCTGCGCGCTGTTTGATTTGGGTTGATTGTTTTATGGTGAATCGTGAAGAAAACATACTGTTTTAATAAAATATTCTCTTTCTCTTACAATTATAAATTAAATGTTCACTTTATAGTAATATACATAGTAATATATTCATAATTTCAGTATTATAAAATGTCAATAAGTGTATACAGTAATAAGTTAATTTCCTATGATTTCTAATTATTGTTAGATTGTATACAAGGAGTCCCAAATTTAACGTGCCAAAAGTATATTCTATGGGTCTCAATAAGAAAAAAATGTTATATAAACATAGGTTGCTTAGCGCTTTATCAATTCGAACGGAATATTAATAGATACAGTTCGTAATGCAATGGTGCAATAGATCAGAAATATTTACACCCAGTATGTTTATGCAAGTATTTACTATCCGAGATTGTTCAGACTATCAATTTCTACCGTAATCATTTGTAAGCACGTGGACTACCGACTGAAATGTCGCAATTATTTACAAATGGAAAGTACGCAAATAGGCACTTCATTTACGGTTTTTGCAATGAGACTGTTCGTGTTGCTGTGAGAGTGCTCCACACAAATTCCAAAGTATTACAAAGTATTTTGAAAAAATCATGTACAATTACGACAGACAGAATCATTTAAATTATTTCATGAAAAAGATCGATTTATCGCAACAATATTTGTAATCTTTTGATAAAAGATCACATTATTATTGTACCTCAAATTCTTTCTTAAAACATAATTCCTTTCGACCTCTGTGTATTATATAATCTACTCGCATAATACATTATCATAAATATATTCTTGTTCTATTGCGAATGATACAGGAATATTAATAAAGCAGGAAGCTATTCCTTTCTTTCTGTATCGATAAACATCTAATCCTTTGATCCATGCATCTTTATAGGATCTATAATTTTTATGTATAATAACTGTACCTTTTTTACTATAATCTTTTCAACTCGAGATAAAATATAACTGGTATCTAAAAACTAAAGGTTCGTAATTAATATTTTCGTTCTATATGTTTGTTTAAAACATGTGCAATGATTATGTTAACAAGGGCAAAACGATAAGCAAATGTTAATAAAAATACTAAAATTAATGTATGCGAATATCAATACTTGAGCTTATGCGATAAAATAATATAATTTATACTCGTCGGATTACGTTTCATGTTTTGATTAATAGACATAAAAAATTACAAGTACATATACAGAAAAATGTAATATGAAGGCAGAAAATAAAAAAGGAATGCGCTTTTTATTTATTTATTTATTTGTATTTATTTTTACTGTGTGGATAACATTGATAGTGACACGGGAATAATAAAGAGGTTATGCAATTCACGAATCATGTAACAAAAATTTACATTGTTTATCTTGTCGCACAGTGATCAATTTGGCCGTTTTAGCCGACTAAAATTAAAAACACTTATATATTGAATTTGTTCAGTAAAATATGATTATATACCTAATCCAGACATAATAACGTGTAATAATAATTAATTACAAAGTATATAATAAGTGAATAAATATTAAATATAATTAATTATATACACTTACATAAAAACTGTGTATTTATATAGAATGGGTTACATTACATAACATGTAATAAATAATAATACAATAAGTAGTAATATATGATTACAATTAATTATATTTAGGTTTTTTTAAATTATAATAGGTTAATAAATATTAATTATACGAAAATACAATCGCACCTGAGCATACGAAGGCTTCGTGTCGCACTATAGAGGAAATGCTCTAAAAAAAAGATGAAAATATGTAGAAAAAATTCTTTTTGCATAATAAACACAAACACAATGATAGTGCTTGAAAAAAGACCGGAACTCACAGGAGTGTATAACAAAATCACTCATAAAGTATTAAAATTGTGAGAAATATTGATTACAAATTACGTTTAAATATGAATAATAACATAAAGACAAAATAAACGAATCAGGTACTATCAGAGGTATAGGATATACATACCCGAGAAACTTTTATCTTTGAAAAAACTGTACACAATTTCTTTGAAACATGTAAAAATATTTCGAAGAATTAGAAAAGCAAATCATGTGCAACAAAAACTCTAAACCTTCAACAAAGCACACAAGTTTATGAGTGCACGTTTGAAAAAAAAACAAATCGAATCTTATTCCTCGCACGTTTGACTATTTTAGGCGGCAAAAATATTACAACTTAAAAAATTTTTGAAATTTACATTTAGCCACCTAAAACAGCTAAATCGGTCACTGTATGTCATTTGTACTTTCAAAAACCTGACAGATCCACTAAAGCTGAAATTTTACAAATAGCTTCATTTTGCATAAAAACAATATTTACAAGAGGGATTTTTGGCAATGCGAAGGTTAAGATAAAAATGTTACAAAACGTTTTTTATCATTTTAGTGATATTTCCTGTAATTTCTGAAACTTTTATATCCTTATTGATCTAACATTCTACTGGTAGCTTCATTTTGTATAAAAAAGAAGTCCACGAAAAGGATTTTTAACAAATCTAAAACTAAGACACAAAACTTTGTGAATAAATGTTTTACCGTTGTAGTATCTCACTCTTTACGATATCAACACTACGTGGAATGAAATTACAATATTAATCGATATTTTTTCATCATTTGACGTATACGCATATTTTATATCTTCTAGCTTTTATAACTGAATAAAAGGATATATTCTAGTTCTTTTTATTTCGTATCGTCGGAAATAATCACATAGAAGTATTCAAAAAGAAATTGAATATATTTCTATTTCATAGGTTTGAACCTCCCTCATATCGGAAATCAAACATTGAGATACCAGAAGATGGTTTGGGCCTTTGTTCGAGCGCTATCGACTTTGTAGATACCAGGTGCGGATTTAGGATGCATCAACTATTATTAACTACGTCAAGGGTACCTAACTAGCAGTCCGCAGACTCTATAGTGACATTCCCTTCACGGAGAGTTACTCACTTCATACCTACTTTTACTTGTTTGTATTGGACACTGCATAGAACTGCTTAAATGCAAACACAGTCTCTAACAGCTCCTAAAGTAGGGATAGTGGAGGAACGCTGTTTTCGAGTAGTTGCGTGAGAGAAGTAAGTTATATAGACACCTCTAATCTAACAGAAGTGTCAAGGCAATTTGTTCTCACACCAGAAAACCGAAACTGGCGATAAATGTTTAACAATATACTAATTTCCAATACCTTAATTCCTTACTTGCGATTTTGACTGCAATGTTCCCTGGCGTTTTTAAAAATAGCTGTTTCCGTACATCTCGCTCGCGAGTTCCATAGTGACATTCTCCTCACAAAATGTTAACCCTTTCCATACCTATTTTTACTTGTTTCTATTAGGCACCAAGTACCTACATAGAACTGCTTACATACCAATCTCGGACAGTCATCTACAGTAGAGGTAGTGGAGGAACGTTGTTTGCGAGTTATTCGCGTGAGGGGTCAGTTAGACACCCCTACCGTAGGTATCGTGATACGGTATTTGTCCTATACCATGACGGTAATGTAAAGAGTGACACTACAACAATAAAACACTTTTTTGCAAAATTTTGCATCTGAACCTTCGCATCGTTAAAAATTCCTATCGCAAACAATGTTTTTATGTAAAATGAAACTATTTGCAAAATGTCAACCTCATTGGATTTGTTAGGTTTTCAGAAGTTTTTCACAACGTCAAACCTATTTCGTCAACCTTCCCGTTTCGACCGCAATACCCGATATTGTCAGGTATTATCAGTCATCAATGACTGACGCGATCTGCATGAAAAGTATAGTGTTATACAGTCACCGATAACTGACATAGCGCTTAACATGTTAATTACAGTTCTATAACCTACTGAAAAAATATTTACATTGTGTTAATAATTCCTTTATTGTGATCATTAATTTTATTTTAATACATCTTCATACAATGATAAAGTATAAATTCATACTGTTGTTAAGTGTACAATTTGTAAAAAAAGCAGTAACAAAGTATATGAAATATACAAAAGATACATACTTATAATTTGTTAATATTACATATACTAAAATCTACTATTATATAATGATGTTTCATTTATTACTTGTTTCTACAAAATATATCAAAAAAAAATATTGTCTTGATTAGGACAATGTTTTGTACTTTTGTAAGTTTCCTCACAGAGGCAAAAACGTTATTGTACAAAATATGTGTATCTTATTACAGTAGAACGTCAGTTATCCGAATACCGATTGTATGAAGGTCCGATTATCGGAATATAGAACTTGTCATATATCAAGACCATAAAGTAATCTTTATATTTTGGAATACTATTATTTCATCATATGTTTATATATTTGGTTCTTCTTGTCCAATTATCTGAAGGATTTTATTTTCTTATTATTTCGGATAAACAACGTGGTACTATATTACATTTGATTAATATAATATATAGAGGTAATTTTAGAATAATACTATTTCATGGCATTTACATATTTTTTCACTGCAATTTCATACACACTATTCGAGCAGTTATAAAATAAATTTTTTTCTCTAGAAACAAATCACAATAAAACATTTAAACAATTAATATCACATACTTTATTATTGTAATCCATTAAGAAAAAACAGACTAAGGATTAAATGGTAATCTTCTTCATTAAACTTTATAATTATTACTTATCTTGGATTATTACTGATTGCGTTTCGTTACTGGGTGTATAATACATGGAGTCCAAATAGCATTTCGTAAAGTCACTAATAATACTTCTGTCAGGTATAGTTTGAGTCATTCCATACATAGCAAACTAAAATATATTATTACTTTTATATTATGTATTATAATAGCAATATTTAACAATTATATTTACCTTTCCTTGAACAGACGTTTTTGGATTTAGCAAAATATTATGTAATTCATTTTCAAGATCATCCAAAAATTTGTCCGCAACACCATGTTGAGTATGTACATAAGTAACACAAAGGTGTATACCACTAGGGAATTGAAGAGTATTCAAATTCCATCCTTTTGCGTTTAAAGCTTCTGACAATCTATAAATATCAAAGTCATTGGATCCTAATGCAATAACTGAAGTTGCAGGAGTACCAAAAATAAAAATTCCATTTAATTTCCTCAATCTGAAATGAATTATTTATATATGTATATATAATAAAATATGTACAAACAAACATATAACATTTAACAATTATATATAATAAACAACTAATAAATAAAGTGTACATATAAATTATAAAAAGTGAAAAATTATAAAATAAGGACACTTACCTCTTTTCAATGAATTTAGTAGTTTCTATAATTTTTTTGGTTGCTTCTAAGTATCCACTATAACCAAAATACATCATAGTAGCCCAACATGATGCAATAACTCCACCAGCTCTTGAACCATTTACTGTTGGAGATCCATAAATGCCTCCAGGCCAATCAGTTGATACAGTATATTGATGATGTTTGTATTTTTTACTTCTATAAAGAATAATTGAAGATCCTTTTGGGGCATATCCATACTAACAAGAAAAAGGTAAAATTTTATATTTATACATTAACTGATAATGTTGAATATACACTTTTCTTACCTTATGTGTATCAGCTGATATACTAGTAACTCCAGGAAGTTGAAAATCAAATGGTGGTACATTAAATCCTGCATCTGGCATGAAACAAATCAAAAATCCACCAAGACAAGCATCAACATGGACTGGAATATTATATTTAACTCCTAATTTAGAAATTGCTTCAATATTATCCATTGTTCCATATGGAAAATTTGGAGTTGAACCCACTAACTGTTACACAGTGTTATGTCAATATCGGATTTATAAATTTAACTCCAAAGGTATGCAATAAACAGTTTTTTTACCATTATTGTATTTTTTGAGATAGCTCCTTCCATCTTCTTAATAGAAACTGTATAACTATGTGGATTGACAGGTACATAACGTATTTTAATTTTTAAATATTGAGCAGCTTTTTCGAAAGCAGAATGAGTTGTTACAGCAATTACCATTTCTGGATTCTTGATACCTTTTACATGCCTTGCATAGTCTCTATATGTTTTGCAAGCTAATAATATTGACTCTGTACCACCAGTAGTCATCTAAAAATAAACTGTATTATATCTGAAAAAGGATCATAATTTACTTTATCCATTAAAGTTAATGAATGTTTACTGTGCCACAAGAGTTTTCATCTCCATGGAACAATTGACAAGCCATTCTAACTACTTCTGCTTCCATCTTACATATGCCAGGAAAAACATCAGGATGTAAAGGATTTGTATATGATGCAAATGAATAAACAGCTCCCATTAAGTTCAATAATTCATGATCGATTCTGTACACAGCCCCGGATACTTTACCACCTTCACAATCATAATCGCCTAAACAAAATTAAATTAAATCAAATAAATATCATAGTAAACAACTACTATACGTAATATCAAAGTAAATAAATAATACCATTTAAATTTCTTTTTTACCTAATTGAACACATTGTTTTACTTTTTCTAATATTTCTTCATACTTGAAACCATTATTTGGAAGTTTTACAATAAATGGAACATCTTTCATCCTTTGTATAGCTTCATTTTCAAATAATAAATTCATATCATTTAATTCCTGATTAATTTTATCTCTGATACAAGGTATATAATTTCTTAAGCTAAAAAATTTCTTTTTTCCTCTTTCTACAAGACCTGTAAAACAAAATAAAATAGACTATATATATTCAAGTAATAATTTGAACATATGAGATAAATAAAATCATACTTTCATCTTGGAAAATAAAGTTCCACAACCAAACTGTTGTAAGAAGAGTTGTACTTGTAATAGTTACTATCTGCCATGGCTCTTTGCCTTGAAAGGTGTTATTTAGAAATTCCTTTAGACCTCCACAAACAGGAAACATATTTATCTGAAACACATATATGTATATATATACACACACATAATTATTAAATGTACCACGAATAGAGATTGATTTGTCAAAATACAGTGAATTATTTGCGAAAAAAATTCTTCCTATACAATACAGGTATGCCTAGTCCTTACATAGAATTCCTTCTCTGAATTTATCTTGCTTACTCATATACACTTCTTTCAATAAAACTTTCTCACTTTTCTTAACAGCTAATTCCATACATTTAGTTTGTTTTTCTTATCTACTTATTCAAATTACACAGTCATCGTGATTTATACTTTTAATATTCTTTAAAATTTGTTTATAAGATTATAAATATGTCAATTAAAACGGTATTTAAATTATTAAATACTTACCAATATTTTTAAAATATAATATGTATTAAAGTAAAATGTAAGTGTGCATTCCAAATGTTTCTCAAAAAATCGTACAACGTTAATGATTTCAGCGCGAATATGAAGATAAGAATATCACCACACAATCACTTTTAAAGATAAATTATTATTATGATTCAACGTGCTGGCGGCCTATATTTATATACTTTAAGTAAGATGAATCTTATATGACAACGGTCACAAACAGATGGCACCTCCTAATCTTTCCTCATATGTATATACACAGTCTTCAGTTACGTAGCAAATGCGCATGATGAGAATGTGAAACTTCGGGCATAGACTTAACATATTTTAAATCAGAGAAGTTCACAGAACCACCGTACCATTTCGGTGTCTCACTCGATATTACCGATAATACAAAATTTAAAGTTTGCTAATAGAAATCGAATTAGGTAAGTGGTAGGTACTTCACGTTTACTACGAGTGTTTTCCTATAGACGAGGTATAAAGATAGACGTAACAAGCAATGTAAAATTTTGTTACACACTCTTGGAGGTCACAGAACCTCCTTACCATTTTCATGTCACGTTCTCTCATATTAACTTCAACTGGTTTTGCATGACAACGCTACAAGTGATAGGAATTAGGATAAAAATATAAAAATTTTAAATAACAACCAGTATAAGAGTGCTGCCGATATAACAAATTTTTTATTCTGTGGCGTCCACTTCTTACTCGTTCGATAAGGGGCAATAAACTTCGAGCTTTTCTTGTTTCTGCTCGAATCCACTAAAGCCTTACTGGATGAGTCTACTGATATAGATACCAAACGAAACGCCTCATCTGTCTTAACCTTCCTTATCTTCCTTATCAACATTTGTCTCTTTCTTCCTTCCGATGGCGCTTATTATCTGGACCTCGCTTCAGGTGTTTTCAACCTCCTCGATCTTTGCCCTTGCAAACGAGCTGTCCGGACCTCGTGCGTACTAATATCTCGGATCGGTTAATTACATTAATTGAATTGAACATCGCATCGTGACGTTTCACCAGCAAAAGAATCCTTTAATAACTTAGAATAACGATTGGCAGACGTTTTAAACACAGTTGGACAAAAAAGAAAATAATTTCAATTTTGTTCACTTGTAATTATGGACCGAATGTAAAACACTCAGATAAAAACGGTTACTAAAACAAAGCAAATAAAACGTATTTTAATGATCTAGTTTTTATAGAAAATTAAAAATTTATTACATACTTCATTATTTGCATTTAGAAATATTAGTAAGAATTCGTAAAAATATCATATTATTACTAAAAATAGTGTTAGATAATAAAACTTTTTGTATGAACTAACACGACTGAATTTTCGATAATGAAAGGAGACTTGTATTTCATCAATTGAATGCATTCAATTTGTTAAAAGTAATAATCAAAATCAGAAAAATTGTGACCTCGCTCAAATTTATTTTTAAAAGCATATTACAGTTATAAATCTCGACATTGAGTGTATAGCTGATCGATCGATGGTGTCAGAGCAGTCATTAGGTATCGAAAGGTAGTACAAAAGCGGAATAATGTGAATTTATATTTCCTTCGTACGTCCACTCTTATGGCAAAAATAATCTATGAACATATGCAACCGACTGCAACTACAGACTTTAACATTAGATCATTTTCTAGTCGTGATAATAACAATAAAATCAAATATATTGTTCAAAAGTTTGACCACGAAATCATTATTTTATATAAAATTTTCTTCAGTCAAGCGCTTGAGGTAACCGGGTATATTACCCGGTTATAGAACAACATGATTATTATGGTTTTGTACATAACGGTTAAAACTTTTTCTTTATTAAGTTATTAATGATTTCTTAAATTAAATTCTTAAATTAATGACTAATAAATCTTATTTATTAATCTTAATGGCAGCAAAAGAAAATTCTTTAGGTGATACCCGAAAGCCTACAAAAAATTCCCATCTTAAGTTTATGTTTCAATATTTTTTATTCTAATTCCTATCACTCATAGAGCTGCCATGCATAATCGGCTAGTCGATATAGCAGGGCGTGACACTAAAAAGGTAAGAGAGTCCTAGGATTCGAGAGCGCGTGATAAAATTTTACATTACATGTTAAGTCTATCCTATACCTCGTCTGTGGTCAAAACATATCACTTTTCAATAATTTCCGTTGAGCGGTTAAGTTGAAGTACAATTCAATGTGAGCTTTACGTTTCTGTACATACGATAAAATGGAAAAATTCCGAAACGAATACAAGAGTAGACGTTTTGGTTTCGGTAACACAGGCGAGTCACAATTCATTCGAACGGAGAAACGTGAAAAGTGGCGTAAAAGTAAAAGAGCTGAGATATTTAATGAAAACAGAAATCTTTTGGATAGCTCGGTAACCACAGCTCACAGTGAAGGTTTGTGAAATAGTTTGTTTTTATCGGATATACATCACTGTTTATGTCACAATTGTTTGTTGTATGATTACATATTAATTTTAGGAAATAAGAAATCTCCTGTAGTTGAAAATCGTATGACACAACTACTAAAATGGAAAACAAAGCGTGAACTTCAGAAAAAGTTAGAGCAAATAAAGAAGAAACGGCCTTTTGTAGTTGGAACTGTTCATCATAATATATATTCACCAGGAATGAAAAATGAACTTTTTGCACCGGGTCTGACAAATAAGAAGGTATGTAAATCAAACGTATCAGTGGCTCCATTGGTCCCACCAAAAAGAATTACAAGAGCCACAGAGAAACGATTAATATACAAAACACAAGTAAATGAGATAACAAAAGTTCAAACAAAATCCACATTTCCTGAGAACAAACAGTCCAAGGTATCAAACGAAAAAGAATATTCCTTTGCTCCAGAGAATCATAAATTTAAGCCGCCGGAAGGACTGCCTCAAGTACCATTATTTGGTAGAGTCAGGTGCACTATGACACCTGTCGTTTCAAATAAATCTGTATCAACATTTTCAAAAATTACACGGTCAAGCAGAGGAAATAATAATTCAAACTTGGCCATAGAACAGATTAATAGTAAAATGTTAAATACGTCTTATACTATTGAAAAGGAGTCAGATAATGGTGATAACACAGAAGAAGGTTTCATCGAACCCATTGTATTAAAATTATCTTCTGATGACGAGAAAAATGATGGTAAAAGTGGAGTAAATAGTGACAATGGCAGCAAGGAAAATGAAAAGTTTAATAAAAGACTCAATGATTCTAAAAAGAATAGAAGACTTGGTGACTCTAAAGAGAATAAAGAAATCAGTGAAAAATTGGACAATATTAAAGGTGACAAAAGTGACAAAAAATTGAATAACAGTGGTAAAATGTCTAATATCACGATAAGAGACAATATTAAAGATGTTCATGATACAATAAATAATACTTTTAGAGAAACTCGATCTTCTATTAACAATAATACACCAAAATCTGTGCAATCTGGTTCTTCTAGTGAACCTGCTTTCTTTTCACCTTATATAGTGTCTAGTCGTGGAAAAAGCAATGCTAGGAAGGAGCAACAGATTAAACGTGGCTTCAGCCTTGGTCGTTCAATGAACAATGACATTCCAACAAAGGAGACTGTCATGAAAAATCTTAACATCTCGATTGACGAGGAAGAAAGAACTGCACAATATTTCGAATTTCTCCTGAACAAAGAAATAGATAGACAGAGGAAGCTGTGTGAAAAGTGGAGCAAAATAAAAGAAGAACCGGGAATCACGGAAGATGCCCAATATCAAATTAATCAGGCTATTGGACAGACAAATTTGCTAATGAATAAAAAATTTCAACGATTTCGTAATTTAGTTTCCGACTGTGCAACTGGAAAAGGGGAAATGTTAGTCACTTGTAATGACTTGCAAGGATTCTGGGATATGATGTATATGGAAGTGGAAAATTGTGATATACGATTTGAAAAATTAGAACAACTGCGTTCGCGAAACTGGAAAGAAGAACAAGTGTCCGCAGAGAGTAAACCTATTATAAAAAAGAAAGTTTTAAAAAAGAAAGCACTACCTACAAAGTCAAGTAACATTAGACTTTTTCTAGCAAAAAAGAAACAGAGTATGGCTGAAAAAACACAAAGTGATATTGGTATGCAAAAATTTGGAATTTTAAATAATGAAATTTTGAATCGTAAAAATGAACATAATGAAAACAGTCTTAGTACTAAATGCAAAACAAGAAGATCAATTGGTCTCAGTGATAAGAAATATACACCTGTAAAGCATGATAGAACAAAATTAAGTTTGCTTGAAAAAGTACAATTTTCTGATAAAAAGAAAATGAAAAGTCCATTAACCATAATGAAAATAAGTAAAATGTGTAAAACACCAGAAATTAAATTAGACGATACTATATCCTATATCAATTCAAATCAAACACCAGGAAAAAGTATATTAAAACACTTGAAAAATTATAATTGCATAGGATCTAGTGTAAAGGCAGTGCATAAAGTTAATTTTAATGATAGCTTAATTTTAAATGAAGATGAGTTGAGTGAAGAGTTGCAAACAAAAAAGGATTTAGCTGCTGCATTTGCTAAAATCGATAGTCTTGACTTTGATTATGCTAGCGAGGAAACACCAATTCATGCAGAAAGGGAACTTACCTTCAATGACAGTTTTGAAGAATCTAAAAATACTACTGATGCTACCAGAATAAAGTCTATAGAAGAAAGTAAGTGTAAACTAATAAATGTACCATCTATGAAAATACAAAATGCAACACCACTCCAAGAATCAATATTGCATGGCGGATCAAGTACATCAGTACCGAGAAGAGTGTTAAGAAGACAAAATGCTTTACTTGATACTGATGACAGTTTATCATTGAGTGTTGCAGTGTCGACACCATTGAAGGAGGTGTCAGATCTTGTAGATTTGAACACTTCCCAACAGAAATTACAAAAGGATGTATCTACGAGTGATACTGAAAAAATTGATAAATATGATGACAATATAAGGGTGCTAAGGAATAGAAGCATCGCTTCAGGAAACTTATCTATACAAAAAAAGGAGTTTGCCAAGAGTCTATGCACAAGTGAGCAAGAGTTTGCGGATAAAGAAAATAAAACCTCTATAAAAAGTAAACGAAATAGTTTGCTTAAAGTTAGCATTAAAGATGATAAAGTCTTCAATTCAAAGATAGAGTTACATGATGCTATCGCTCAAATGGGTCTACAAGAGAATACTGGGAAAAGAAGATCTAGCCGAAAAAGTGTCAAATTTGATGGTAATAATGGTTCTTAGTAAATTATATATGTTATCTTTGTCACATCTTATCTAGTCACATTTACGTTAATAAATGTGTTTTGTTGCAGAAAAAGAATGCAATAGTAGCGTGGTAAAGCCAGCATTTCCTGTAACTCCTCGTGTTACACGGAGCAGAAAGTCCAGTAAAAGCAAAGGAGAAGTATAGTAAATGAAGATTTTCATTATTTCAATCACAAAAAAGAATAGTTATTCGCTTTTTACATTTATATTCAGTTTATGAATGTAAGTTTATGAATGTGCTTTATGAAAGTAATATGTCAATCTTAAGCATCCAACCAGAGTAGTAAATTGAAGAGTAAAAAAGTACAATTACCAAATTAAAATTATTTACATTATTTGTATTGCCTTTTTATATTGCAAAGACAATATATGTACGTACATTGAAAGTTGTATTGTGCAGTGGGTAATAATCATTGGAGATCATCACTCACAGCTACCGTAATTCTTTGATTAAACATTTGATTACATTATATCTGTTGTATATTTTATTACTATATCAAATAAGCGCATTCGCGTTGTTTGATACTTTCCGATGTAAAGAGTTTCGCTTGATCGTATTGGTTTGCACTTTTGAGCAGATTTCTGCAATAATGCATGCCATTCGAACGACTAATGATTATAATCTGTTTTTTATTACATAGTATAGTATAGAATTGGAGGCACCTCACCATAAGTAGTAACAGTAGTTTATTAAGCATTAACAGTAACAAAAGTACTGTTTGTTTTGGGGCATAGATAATTAATAGGGAGGAAGAAAGAGACTAATGTTGATGAAGTCGAGGAAGGTTAAGACAGATGAGGCGTTTCGTCTGGGATTTCTACCAGTGGACTCATTAAGTAAGGCTTCAGTGGACTCAAGCAGAAACGAGAAAAGGTCGAAGTTCGTGGCCCTTTATCAGACAAGTGAGAAGTAGACGCCACAGAATAAAGAATTTTTGATATCGGCAATATTCTTATACTGATTGTCATTTAAAATTTTAATATTTTTGATCCTAATTCCTATCACTTGTAGCGCTGTCATGCAAAACCAGTTGAAGTTGATATGACATAGTATGACACATCAATTTTATATATTTATTCATATTACGCATGCATAATAATTTACTGTCTTTATTTTGCTTTCTTTTCATTCGTGTTTTTATTTAAATTACATTAACGAGCATGATTTGAACATGTGCGTGAAATACATATAATTTACTTATTTAATTATAATTAAAAAATTTTAATATGCAATGAATCACAAAAATATTCGGACACTAGGATATGTTTAACTTTAACCATCCATATCTTGGTTAATTATGAAAGAAATTAACTCACACTTATTTCTTTCAATAGAATATTTATTGTAGTTTAGCAATATGTACAGTTTAATTACCTAACTTGCTGCAGTAGAGTAATGTTGTAAATTAAATGAGATTATAGTAATTTTTAGCGTTACAAAAATATGCGGACAGTTTATTTCTTTTGCAATTTATTTACAAATAATACGTGAATAATTCGAAAAAATGTGTGTTTCAGGGAGTACCTTTGTTTACAAATACGATGCGTCGGAGTTAGTATCAAGTTTCGTATCAAAACATTTCGTTTAATCTGTGCCAATTGGTAATTTTAATTGCGAGAAAGGAAAATCGCATTGACAAATCGCTGCTATACTTAAGGGAGGAAATACCTTTAGACGGATGAAAACGAGCTTATCTTTATGAATTTTTTTGTAAAGGAAAGGATTGTTTTACATTTTTGAAACTTTGGTTATCATTTATTATATTCTTTCTCTAGTACAACGTATTTTTTGTTTTTCAAAATATTTAAAAATGGCGGAGTTATGTCTCTGTTTTTCGGGTAGGTTGTGGTGCGACTTATTAAATGGTGTAAGCTCTAGCTTTGGCTACATTGATTTGAAACAAACCAGCAAGACATATTTCGATAACTAACACTTACAGTTTGTAGATGAACCTACAGAAAGTGAAAAATATTGAAAATTGAAAAAATGACACGCTTTTAAACAGAAACTTTGAATTTTACATGAAATTTTCGCCCTATTTTGCAATAAAAAGGTACTTTTATTTACAATTTATTTCATATTTCTAGGTGCATATAGAAGACAATATTGTTATAGATATGTGTGCAAAATTTCAGCAAGATGGATTGAGTAGTTTTTGAGTTATTGATTTCACCGATTTCGAAAATGTAGTTTTGAGATAAACACCTTCAAAGTTTCGATAAGTGATAACTCAATAATTTCAATAACTTATCTTCTGTTTCCTCATAGAGCTGATTTTCCTCCATACGTTGCTCTCTTCTTGCTTTTCGAGCCTCTTTGGTAGTTAATGAGGTGCGTCGCTCCTGTCGAATTATTCTCTGTTCGTCGATTTTGTCGGCGTATGTTTTTGCTTGTTTTCTAATTACAATATTCAAAGCACTCATAGTTCTTAAAACTGAAGCATATCCTTCACTAAATAAGCCAGCTGCTAAATATGCTGCAATTTCAATAATTTTTATTTCTGAGTGCAGGTGCTTTGGAGTGAAGCGCCAAACGGTTCAGTTGAAACTCTCATTATTGTTCTGAGTGTGTCCGCCCAAGCACCTCTCAAGTAGATTCTCTTCAGATAAATCTTCGTAAATTGGTAGGATGTGCTTCTGCACGTCTGGATGTAGTGGTGCAGGATGTTCTATAAGGTCCAAATTTGCTCCTGTAGCTAGAGCTTTCTGCCACTTGCACCAGCTGTCATTTCCTACCGAGCAGTATCCGTGCCTTGGATTTTCTTTGGTGGAGCATAAGTGATAATACGAGGCCATTATAGCTTTCTTCATATTTTCCACACTATGAATATTTCTTCGTATGGCTAAGCCATAGTATGCGGTGAGTTTTCTGAGAAGCGCATCAGTCAGCTTGCCTTTTCCACCGAGGTTTTTCGTTTTTTTAATATTTCGAAGCCGGCAGTATTATAATTTTTCTTGTATAACGCAAACAATGTAAAGTAACATGTTTACAATGATTGAAAGGAGGGAATTATAAAAGGCGGGTCCTCCCCTTCGAGCACGTGAATATATACCTGCGGTGGGCTACCGCCTATGAGTCCCGATTATGAGGTATAGCATCAGAAGGGCTCCGAATTTCGCTTTAAAACTTTGGCATCATACTCTTAAGATGTTATACTAACATCCTATAGAAAAAAAAAGATATTGCGATTTTTTAAGATTCTAAAGGTATTTCCCCCCTTAATCTTCAAAAAAGCATGATGGCAGTTATCGTTAATAGATTTAAAAATGAAGATAGGATTGAATCATTTCCGTAAAGTGATCGGTCAAAAATAATAAATGAAATAGAAAAACGGAAGATTATTCGGAAAATAGGAGAAAACCCACGACTAAGTGCTTCTGCATTAACAGCTGAACTTTGAGAAGAAAATGAGAAATCTGTAAATGCACAAACAGTTCAACGGCTACTTAAAGAAAATGGTTATAATGGGAGAGTGGCAATAAAGAAACCGTACATTAGTGAAGTAAATAAAAAGAAACATTCAAATTTCACAAAAGAAATGATTTCGAAGGTAAAGAAACGGTGGAGTGATGTCATTTTCGTTGACGAATCTAAATTCAATATATCTGGTTCGGATGGATGACATATGGTATGGCGTAAGCGAAATGAAGCTTTAAATTTGAAAAACTTGCGAGCTATTTTCAAACATGGTGAAGGGCATGTATGGTCTGGGGGTGCATATCGAGCAGAAGAGTAGGAACACTTGTCTTTATGGAAGACATCGTGGATGAAAACAAATATTTACGTAATTTAAAAGAAAATTTAGTATTAAATGCAGTTAACGTGGATATTGAAAAAAGCTTTAAATTCTATCAGGATGACAATCTGAAGTATAAGACAAGAATCGTACAAGAATATCTACTATATAACTGTTCAAAAGTCTTACACCCTCCTTCTCAGTTGCCGGATTTTAACCTTGTAAAGTATCTATGGGATGACTTGAACAGAAGAATAAGGACAATACCGATAAGGAATAAAAAAGAATTTAAATAGAGATTACGAGACGAACGGGAAAAGCAAATATAGAATATTTAAAAAAAATTATATTTAGTATGCCAAAACGATTAAAACAAGTAATAAAACAAAAACGTTGCGTTACTAAGTATTAAAAATTAAGATTTGGTTTATATAATATTAATTATGTATAATGTTGGAATATTTATGTAACGCGAAAAATTACTATCATCTCATTTAATTTATAATATTACTGTAGCACACAGCAAGTTAGGTAATTAAGTTGTACATATTTGTAAAGTACAGTAAATACTTTATTGAAAGAAATAAGTTTAAGTTAATTTCTTTCATAATTAACACAAATATGCACGGTTAAAATTACGCATATGTACCTTAGTGTCCAAATATTTTTGTGATTCACTGTAAATATATACATCTTATTACGTTTAATACATTAATTATATGGCTATAAAAGAGTTTTCTACGGAAAAATTTAGTAATTAGATGAAAACGAACTAAACAAACGAAGATTACATCATATTCTGAATATCTATGTATTGTGTTAATATAAAATCAAGTAATGTTTATTTATAAATGAGTGGACAAGTAGTACACATAATTATTTAATGGAATAATTAATGACTCATACTTTGATTTTAATTACGATCTAGCATTTGAATTTTGACGACCTGAAAAGACATGCCGGTTAAGGAAGCGAATCGCTCGAATGCTTTCATTGTCAGCCTCGATGAGTTTCATACAAATTTAACTCTTCAAATTCGATAACAATGTAAGTTTTAGAGCTGACAACATTATAAAAATTGACCTCCCAAGAAATATATTTTCCATGTTGCAGTCTTATATAATTCAGTAGTTGATCGTTTAATTCAGGTAAAATCGACTAGTGCATCAGGGTATTTTTGACGTTATCGGTATTTCAGATATATTTACTACATTGGTCAACTTCGATCATTTTACTTGATGTAGTTTTCCTATTCTCCATTCTTTAAGCATAGAGGGCAGAGCAAAATCTTTGATTTTTACGCAGTCGATAATTCAGAACATGTGACACCTTGGCCTATAAGCTTGTAATATCTATCCTATGCCTCGTCTGTGATAGAAAACAAAATTCATAGTGCCACCAACTTCGTTCTCTATCGTTACATATCACTTCATCGCGTTTAGTCTTGCTTTCATCTTTTGTTATTGATGCGCGGCAATAAGAACCATCCGTTGAATATTGAGACGTCTGAACATCGTGAGCGGAAGTGTTCCGTTGCCTCCCTGACTTTTTCGCTTTTAGGTGTGTATCAAAATAGTACGGTTCAGTGTGGCCAAATCGGGGAAATTGAGAAGAACACAGTGTACCATCTCCTTGGCGTTACCGACGAGTTCTGTGATGTTTGCGGAGGTGTTTGGTGGATGCCGCTAATGAGGAATGGGGTAGTGGAAGGGGTAAGGCGAAGTGGAATCAACTAACCATTTGGTTGCTTTCTGTTTTCACTGGTACGATGACTGCATAATGTGGTACATTTGTGCAGAGAATGGAGCCGCAAGTTGTAAGCAAATTACATTTTAAAAAATGCTCTTATATAAACTGCGGTGTTACAAGTAGAAATACCACGGATGGTACATCGTTTCATACTTTTCCCATTAAGGATCATGATCGATGTATAACATGGCTTGTTAATTGTGGTCTAGATGATTGGGTTGTGGAAAATGACAGTTTTTTTAAACATAAGTACGTATGCAGTAGACATTTTAGTAAAGATTGCAAGCATGCTTCCGGCCGACTTACTAAGTCGGCTGTTCCAAATTTATATGACCATGATAACAATTTAGAATCTACCACCTCGCATACTACTGAGATTGATGTTCAAGCTTTAATGAAAGAAAACAATTTTTTGAAAAAACGGTTGTTGGAAGCCGAGAAGACAATAGAGCAAGAGAAGATTCGTTACGAGAATCTTCTGTCGCGATATCGAACGAAATGTGAGCAAAGCGAAAAGAGAAAGAAAGTATAGTTTCTATTGAACGGTTATTTAAAGTATAATTCAATGTGAGTTTTACGTTTCTGTACGTATGATAAAATGGAAAATTTTCGAAATGAATATAAGAGTAAACCTTTCGGTTTCGGTAACACAGGCGAGTCACAATTCATTCGAACTCAGAAACGTGAAAAGTGGCATAAAAATAAAAGAGCTAAATTTTTTAATGAAAACAGAAGTATTTTAGACAGCTTGGTAAACACAGCTCACAGTGAAGGTTTGTGAAATAGTTTGTTATTATTGGATATACATCATTGTTTATGTCACAATTGTGTGTTGTATGATTACATATTAATTTTAGAAAGTAAGAAATCTTCTGTATTTGAAAATCTTATGACACAACTACTAAAATGAAGAGCAAAGCATGATCTTTAGAAAAAGTTGGAGCAAGTAAAGAGGAAACAGCCTTTTATAGTTGGAGCTGTTCATCACAATATATATTCACCAGGAATGAAAAATTAACATTTCGCATCAGGCATGATAAATAAGAAGGCATTTAAATCAAACGTATCCATGGCTCTATTGGTTCCACCAAAAAGAATTATAAGAGCCACAGAGAAACAATTAATGTACAAAACACAAGTAAATGAGGTAATAAAAGTTCAAGCAAAACTCACATTTCTTGAGAAGAACAAACAGTCCAAAGTATCAAAGGAAAAAGAATATTCCTTTGCTCCAGAGAATCATAAATTTGAGCCGCCAGAAGGACTGCCTCAAGTACCATTATTTGATAGACTCAGGTGCACTATGACACCTGTCATTTCAAATAAATTTGTATCAACATTTTCAAAAATTACACGGGCGAGCGGAGGTTATAATAATGCAAACTTTACCATAGAACAGATCAATAGCAAAATCTTAAATATGTCTTATACTATTGGAAAGGGAATCAGATAATGGTGATAACACAGAGGAAGGTTCTGTCGAACCCATTATATTAAGATTATTTTCTAATAAAGAGGAAATATTTTTTTCAAGAAATGAAAATGATAAAAGACAATGTATGTATGTACATTGCTCAAATATTATTACCATATAAGCGCGGTTGCGTTGTTTGATACTTTCTGATGTAAAAAGAGTTTCGCTTGATCGCATTGGTTTGCACTTTTGATCAGATTTTTGCAATAATCCATAGCACTCAAACGACTAATGATGACAGAAAGAGATTATTGTCCTGCCTATTAGAAATTAATGACGTCAATATAAGCGTATCTATTTTTATAAATTAGGCTGAGATGATTATTTATAATTGTATAATACTTGAATAATTATATAATAAAATTTGAAAATTGTTTACATAATTATATTTCGTACTTATTTATACTGTACTCCTGAGTTACTGAACCTAAAGATATTCAGTCTGTCTTAAGTACCAATCTTTCAGCAATTCTTTACTCGCAGGAAGGAAAGTCATGTGATTGTAGATAGTTAGAATGATGGTGACAACACCAAAAATATAAATATTTGAAGAATTGTTGGCAGCTATGTGTTGTATTCATAAAATAATATTATAATGTATTCATTATTCCTGACAGTGATTTGTAATATGATCTAAGTACGGTTAAAAGCGATTTACAAAAATGGTTTTTGTAAGAATTTTGAAAAGGGACACCACATAGAGTAGAATTGTAGGCGCTTCACTATAATAACAGTAGTTTATTAAGCATTAACAGTAACAAGAGTATAAAAATGTAATATTTTGTTTTAGGGTCCAACTTTTTGCAATAAATAATTTTTTGCTTATTATAACGAGCAGGTTAATAAGTGTAGCTCATCTAGTAATCTACTTCTTTTTTGTCTGCCCGTATATAAGACTTGTTACCAAAATAAAACAAATTTCAGCACTGAAAAGCTTTTTCTGTTGATTTGGTATTTCAGTCGAAACAATCTCTCCTGAATTACGCTATGTATAATTAAAAATAAGTTACAGATTTTATTTCGGACGTTTTAAAGATGAAATTGAAAATTTTTGAAAGAAGAATGAATTCGTAAATTCTGAAAGAATCATGTAATGGTCGTGTCATTAGATTTATTTAGAGGCAAATATCTTGCTGATAATCTTAGTACTCATGCCTCCTCTTTCCTTTAACTGTAGCACCTAAAGAATTTTCTTTTGCTGCAATTAAGATTATACACTAATGAATATATATGATGAATAATAATGAAGAAGCTTTAAACGGTTAATAGAAAGAGCTAGGTTTAGTTAGAATTGTGTCAGAAGGTATAATTTAGTTCCCTTTCTTTTATTGTTAGTGTCGTATCAATCGATAGCGAAAATCATACCGCAAGCGACGTATAGGATAGAGCACACATTACTCGGCGGCTATTATAAGCTGCGGTCAACGTGATGACTATGGTGTGTGTAGCTATGATTCCGGCCATCTCACAAACGTGCTTACTTATATGAAATTTAATGCAAGAAAATTTAAACCAGGACCGTTCAGTAACTGGTTCTGCGTTTTGTCAATGCTTACCTCTTAGGGAAGAGTATTTCCGAGTCTCAAGTTGTAATAAACAGAGCGAGAACCACGCTGTCAGGAGAGGACCTAAGACTAGACAGTATTCCTCTGAAAGCACTCGTTTCGTAGCCGTCGAGACGACAACATTATAGTAAAACACAGTCCATTTCACACCGCTTGCATTAATTTATTTCACAATGCCCACAGTCTTATAGTGCGTAAATTCCATCATTGACAATAGTATTTTTGAATAACGGACGTGTAACCACGAATAAAATCTTCCATTAATGTATGTAGTTGTAGCCAAAGTTTTTCGTAATTATCCTGAAAATGAAATGAAAGCGATATTTTTGTCAAAGGATAAAAGTTATTTAAAACGTTGATTTCTGCAACACTGTTTAATTTTATAAAAATAGGCGATGGCAGCTGCTTATAATACTATTACCATTCTTCTCAATTAATTTTATTGATTATATAGTAATTAATTGCAAAAAGAAGTAAAAATTGTCTTCCTCGACAGTTAATATTGGACAATTACGAGAAAGAAATGGTGGTCATAAGTATTAATTCTTGTGTGGATAGAAAATTTTGAATGGAAACGAAAGTTTCGCGACATATTACAGAATACAAACAATGAAGAATAAAAATATAATTGACGTGTAGAATTTCTTTCTTTATTTACAAATGTCTGATAATCATCAATGTACTCGGTAACAAAATCTGTTTGCACATATACAGAATGATTGTTCAGCACTAAGACGACAAATCAACAATCTCATCGCTGGAGAAAAACAATACTGATACGACTTGCACACTATGTATATCGTGTCGTTATCATATAATACCCAGTCACAAATGTTCACACGTGACATAGCGTTTTTTTTATCTCTCCATATATGTAAGCATATTCTTAATTATTACGCTAAATAAACGAAACATAATATATATGAATATATCAACGAAAAGAAAGACTACCACCTATGGATCAACATACATAGATTGACTTGAGCTAGGCCGAACATTTTCGAACTGTCAGTCACGGTTGCCGCGAATACCTACAAACGCTTCAGTTAGGTTTTATGCAAGTATATAATATGGTGAAATAACAATTGCTATATAACAATAGCATCCTGTGGCATCCGACAATATCATACTTTTTACTTATTTTTGTAATTCATAGATCACTCCATTCGATTACACATATATACGTGTATAGGCACTGTATTCATTGCCAAATAAGCATTTAGTAATGAGCAAAACTGAATGTAGTCGAAGCAAATTCAATTAACTGCTTAAAATCAACCGTACACTAAAAGTGAGCATCGTCTACATAATACTAAGTAAACTTTATTTTATATTTAAAGCGTTAAAGCAGATCAGCTTTAGCATTTTTGTAAAAACTTTGTTCCTTTTTTATTATTAACGAACAAATTGTTATCATTCACTTAATATACTTCTGTTTTTGTCATAAGTAGTTTATAATTATTTTTTTATGTATACATTCACCCTTTAGCCTGTAGGAATGATTCAACGAACGGTGACATTATACCTATACATAATTATAAATATATTGCAAATACCTAAAGCAAGTAACTAAAAAATCAGTTTCATTAAAGTATTAGCTTCATTGAATCTTATAGTATACCTAGGTATTGCAATATTAAAAAATAGGAAAAATATTTTATTAATACAATACATTTTTAAATTCTGATTAAGCAAAAATTTAGTTCATGCATTTTATACGAACACATATACTGCTTATATAGAATAAAAATATAATTAAAGACAGATATCATATTTGCAAGTGAAGAATGATTTCTAGAATATAAAGTTCACTTCGAATAAATGTTTTACAAATATGAATTCTTTCCGCGAGTAAATTATTTTATTTGCAATTTTCATGTAAGTAAAGATTTTAAACACATTTGCTATTCAAATACTTGATTATCTAAAAAGACTAAGTATATCATGTCCATGTTATCAACGTGATGCAGTACACGGCAGACATAAACTCGAATCATATATAATAGACACAAAAGTTTTAAAGTCCCGAGCATTAGTAAGTAAATATATGTCTACATAGAAAAACACTTTGCGTTTTCTCTTGATCTTACTCGAGTATGTTCAATTTTTATCAACTCGAATCTGTAATCTCAGGTAAGTACATGCACATCGTTATTCTTCAATGACGATAAACAGTCAATTGATTTTGTTCCGACTAAAGCTTAATTTTGTGTGGATGTTATTTAAATCTAAAGGAAAATTTAAATGTTCATTGTTAAGCGCAGTGTTGATTGCTAGGCTGTACTTTCGAATGATACCGGTGATTGATCGGATTGAGATTTGTTGTCCCTAAGTATGAAGTTTTAACTTCGGGAATTTATTAGTTTCTGTTTATGTAAACATGACTAATAGTTTTCGCTGTAGGAATCATTATTACCGACTGTCAGGTGTCTAATGACGCAACAGCAATATCGGTCTCATTATCAGCATCATATAGGGTATCCCAACTTTTATCGTAAGGAAATTTAACCTATCTGTTTCACACGTGCTAAATAATAAGGCCATTAATTTTCTGCTTGCAAATATTAAAGTCTTTGACTCAAACCTTGACAATTGCAAGCTATTAGCTCTAATCGTTTCTTCAGCTGCAATGTCATTGGTAGTCAATCTAATATTTAAACATTTAGCATAAACATTTTTTTAGTTCTTCACGAAGTTTTTGTCGTTTCTTATAACATATAGCAATGAGTTTTATTTAGATAGCAAAGGCTCGTATTAATGGGGGTAGTTTTTTTGGAGGGATGTCGCCCACACTTTTATTTTATACTTGCCAAAAATTCTTCAAATTTAAATTTGTAGAATACGAAAATAGAGTTTAAAACATTTTTTAGGCCTTGGATAATTGAAGTTAGAATAACCAATTTTTCATGATTCCTTATAAATTATAGGCAATGTGGTCAATATCATTATTCGCTTAACGGCTTACCGAGAATGACTACTATTGTACAGCAAAGATTGTTGTATTAATCGTATCTGTATAGGCAGAGCTCAATGTATGGTACCGAAAGTTTTTGTTGATACTTTCGAAAACTAATAAGTACTCGAAGTTAAAATTTTATATTTAAGGTCTACCTGCCATCCCCTCTCAACCCTTTAAATTTCAGCCCACTCAGTCACCAGTGCTATTCGTAAGTATATTTGATCCCTAGGTTAACAATCGCAAAGCTTTCGGAAAACGATGATGCGCAACGAACTGTTTTTGATTATTACAAACTCTGTTCCTTACGTGACTTAAGTCCGTTTTGTTCGGCAGGCGCAATAAAGATGTACGCATATTAAAAATAATTATGTCACATTGATGCGGATCTTTTTATATCAAAATTTCGTGCAAGTATGAAAATTTAACCATCGGTGGAACTTTCATTATAACGTGATTCTTTGTTTCTTTTCTTTTCTTTTTCATTTTTTTTTAAACTTTTTCTTCTTTTATTTTTCTTAAAATGACTCCTCGTACACATCCGGCCTTCATAAATAAGGGAAACTCTATATGGACCTTATACAAAATGTTCTCCGATATATCATGTACGAACTCATGGTCACCTTGAGAGAATGTCGAACCACATTGCGTGATTAACTCGATCTATTCTGATGTTTTAAAAATGTGCGTCATTCTTGTTCTAGGTGTTCGTTGCTTTTTATAACTAAGGCTTCTTTATGCAGAGTACCTACAGTTTGCGGTAAAATATAGAAAGAACAGATATATGTTTTGACAAAGAAATCAAAAGTTTACAATGTAATTTTGTGACATAATGTTTCGTGTTCATTGTATATTATAACATGTTTATAATTTTAATCAATTTCTACTAATTACACGTAAAACACTTAAAATAAAATTTTGATTCTCAAGGAAATAGAGAATTAGACCGAATTTTTGATAATTTCATTATTCGACTATAAATTACAGTTTTAAAATAGAAAATAATTAAGTTTCGATTTATAAAATATATAATTTTAAATGAACAAATTTTAACAATGTATATTTGTAAAAGAATTCTGAAAAGTTATTATTATCAAAAGACATTATACAGTATAAATTTCTATATCAAATTTTCATTTTTATTAAGACAATATTAATAATTTCTACGTAGTTAAAGCCATTCATAATCAAAGTCTCGTATGCAATAAAATAAAGATTTATTTTCAGATTTCGTAAATTTTATAAAAATATATTGAACAGTTGGTGAACTTGTCGGAACATTACATACGTATCGATTTTGATGCTTTTGAAATATGTTGTTTGGGTCATGGTTTTGGACAACGTTTTCCTATGTATGTTAATAACGGCCGGTTTTAGTTTCCGAGATATTAGTGGAAAACTTTTATTACCACTACATTGTATTCCATACACGTGAAACCTACTGCGTTGGTTACACGCTACAAGCATACAGAAATTATAAAATAAAAGCTGTACCCGCAGTCTGTAAAAAACTAGTTCCACTCATACTGATCTTTATTAAAAATCTCTTGTTTTGCGCGCAATAAAATCAAAAAATGAAGCGTGTACTCGTCAAACGCAGGACGAATGCACCTAAAATGTATTTTAATGAAAAAGAAGAATAATATGTTTATCTGAAAAAATAAAGAATTCATCATTGAAAAAATTAGTATCATTTCGAGCTTTAAGATGACGTGTATATTCAACAAACGCAGTTACCTGGTTAAGCGACTCATTCCTATACATACGAAAGAACATATGAAACTACCTGGTTGACTGGAACTATTGGAATCGTTGTCAGGAAGGACACATGAAATCTCAGCATAGTGATGGCTCACTGATGTACATAAGTCGTCATCGAAGTAACGAGCATGCGGCTATGCTTGTGGCAGTGTCACTGTCACGCTTACGGATATAGAATTCAGTGTGTGGTAGCGAAAATTTTTCGCGGTAATCTCGGAAATTAGAACTTCCCGTAGATGATGCGTAAGGAAAAAGTTGTTCAAAATGCTCGTAACAACATATTAAAAAATTATTGAAATCAAAAGGCGCTGATATATTAAAACCTGGACTAATATTTGACTAAAAATATGTTTTATAATGTTTATTATATACGATATTCTTTGTATTTTTCGTAAAATATATGGCACATAAAGTGTTTCAAAATAATAATGTTTGAAGGAAGCATTTGTACGAGTAGCTACGTACAATATTATGTTCTAAGCTAATGTTTTTTGACTTAATATAAACCGAATTTACAATAATACTTATCAGATCGAAACCCTAAAAATGTGTTGTTGTTAAATTCGAAAATAATCTTTGAAAGACCATGCTTTTGTATTTTACCACAAACCATAGGATGTCTTGTACTTTTCTCATGAGTTTGTTGTTCATGTTCCGCGATGCAAATGCAACAGTGTGTAAACTAAAAATTGACTCAACTTTGTTGATAGAAATGTGTAGGTATGTGCTGTCAACTACTGGTGACATTAAGTAAGTTGGGACATAACTGGACATAGCTGTCTAGAAACGGAAGCAATCGTATGACCTAACGGGTTTATATGTATATTGCCAGTAACACTGTCAATCCGTGTATAAATATTTATAGGTCTATCGCTAACTTACGAGTATGGGGCAGCCTGAACACTCGCAGCATGTACTAAAATATCTGTAAATTAAGATGAACTATATGAAACGTTTGTAGATTTTTATCTTGGTTAGAGGTTATTGAAACAATCTGAGTAATTCTGAAAAATTATGGTTACAATTCAGATAAGACACTCTGTTGGTTTCTATGTACCTATAGCCGGGCTATTGAAAGAATTGACATCGGTAACTTCTCATATCTGATTTCAAAAAAATTGTATTTTTTTGTTTCGCTTAACGGAGAATAACAGTAGAATAAAGTATATCGCGATTAACCTTAAAATGTAACTGAGTAACATTTATTCAACTATGTATTAGTTCCTGGAGATAACACTTATAAGATAATAAGAACTTAAAACATTTTATATGACTAGGATAAAGGAAAGTTGTATGCTCATTTAATACAATATTTGAAATGATTAAATCAGTCAAAATAATCTTATAAGTGCAGGGTCTCCCTCATGTACTTTCATTATCAATCACGTTGGCATAACCTCCACTCTTACTATGATTTCCTTTTTCTCTTATTATTCAACAAATGTTTGTATGTTCTAGGATTGATAATGATGCATTTATAAATACAATCACACTATTAGTCTGTCATAACTACATAGCAACAAAAACTATAATCATACTTCTAGTGCAATTGTTATTTTAACTGTATGATCGAGGCCACTTGTTAGTACAATGATGATGATGGCAGAAGGATCTCGAGTAGTTCAGTTTGATTCTGTTACATCCTCTTTCTAATAATCAATTCAGGCGCCCCAATCTCGACATTTCTATTCGAAAAAGTGTCTCTTTAGCGCTCCTCACGTAGGCCCGACGTTAATCTTCCACGTTACTTACAATTAGGTGAATGAAATACAACGATCATGGGTTAAGTACACACGACAGTTAGTTTGATGCGTGCACGCATTGGCATACAGGCGAATACCTTTCTCCCCTTTCATTAAACATTTTCTATTCCTCTCACTCCAGTCGCGTCAGCCCTGCTTCGAGGAGGACGAATACAGGCCGGACGTTAAAAATTACCATTTAGTGTTACGATTATTTTTATTAAATACGCGTTAAGAAACATTTAATCGAACAACATGAAACGCTCGCGTGAATGTACGAGTCCGTCAATATACATATACGTGTATATAAAATTCGAATACATCCGGCGGACCGCAAAAATGAACGAGGTGAACTTTCAACAGCATTACTAGACTCCAACGTGTCGCATAAACTATACAAAAATGAGCACTCGAAGTTGGGGGAAACGAAATATCTTTGGACGGTACGGCGAAGAAGCATTCAACGAAATTTTATTTTTTTTACCACGGTTCCCTAGCCACAAACTCCATTTTATGTTTATTTGTTTCCGCTCAGGTTCGAATCGCTTTCACAACTGTTCTCGCTAAAAATCCGCGAAGTCAAATGGTATCGAAGTACTTTTTAGCATTGAAGGCGTTGGTTCGAACGGCCCCGCGTAAGGCCCCAAGAAGATTCTGCTCTCCTTTTTCACGCTACACACAAGGCCATATGCTTCCAGCTCAATATCTCTTTGCAAAAATCCCTTTATTATGACGATGGCTGACTTTTTCTTTCTTTTTTTTTTGAACGGTCACTCGTTTACTTAAAGTCTTATTCTAGCCCGTCACTAGCTTTAATAATCGAAAGACATGTGGCTCTATTACACGCTCGAAAGCTGTATTTAAAGATGTCTTTTTACTCCTTTGTAGTTCTATGTGTAGCGTATTGTTACAGCTTTAATTTCCCTACGACTTGCTATTTTTTCTTCTTTTTATTGTTGGACGAATATTTCGTGTTAGTTATAGCGTACATCTCGGGCTGCGCTTTCGGTATATACTTCTATTCCAGATTTTACGCGAATCTGAAAATTAATTTTCGATCATGTAATATGGAATAGATATGGAAAACAAATAGTATTAAAACTGAAAAAAGCAACTATTTATTTTCAGATCTCTTAGAAATGTTTAATGTTTAGTGAACAAGTGTATCGAATCAATTTCGAATTAGATACTACTTTTAATTATCAAAACAATTTTAAATTACCAATATTCCATTTGTAGAATTCGATTGTTGTGATTATAAAAGTAAAAGGTAAAATATACTTTTCTTTACAAATTAATCAGTAAAATTTGGCATGAGAAAGAAATTTGTTTATTTTGTTAAGATTAACTTATTAGATTTAAAATAAAACAAACACTTGATTATATTGAACTGTTTACTATACTTAATTTTTAACAATGCCAATTACAATAATGTTTAATGAACAAATTATTGTTTTTTATTCAGCAAATTAATACTGTGTTTTACAGAAATAAGTATCTTAGCAATAATTTTGTGTCAATACAGTTCTATAAATAATGAGAAACATATTCATGTATTTTTGTTAGTCATAACATTAAATGACAATGAGAAACTTAATTTTATAAGTGAATATGTTACTGAACATTGTAGCATAGAAATTAATCTTGATTATTTTAATTTTTCTAATATTTCCATTTTCCAGATATGTTTAATTTTATTATATTAACTTTATTTTAACTGACAATTTGGAAAAGTTGAAATCGTAACGTTTATAGAATGTATATGTTAATATACAAATGGAATATTAATTGATATAATTTAGCGAATAATGTGCAATAATAAATATAATTAAAATTATTTACATACTTCTATGAAATGGCGTAGTGACAACTGTCAGTTACTTGAGCCGTTGTGTAACATTTGCCAAAGCAACAGCGAATGCTTGTAATGCACTGAAAGGGTATTGGAAATCCAGTGTGTAGGCGTTCCCATCTATCCTTCCAAATTGCATAACCTACCAGGGAATTGAGACAAATATAACTACTCTCTTGTTTAAAGTGTATAATATAGATTAAAAATAGTTTTCCTACCTGTCGGCCTTTGAATTCTATTTGAAAATTTTTTGCACTTTCTTGGGTCACTCTGCCACCAAAGTCAAGTTGATACACTTGACTAGATTCATTCCACATAGGCGCCTTATTGTGCATCACAAGCTCACGTTTTGCTGCTTCCGACTTATGACCAGATATTCCTGCTCCTTTTTGTTTCAACTAGATATCGCCATTATAAACGCATTATTAATGTTATTCTATATAAAATAATTTATTTCTGCCAATTCACAGCATATTAAATGCATAAATTGAAATTGAAATTACTAAAGTAAATATGTGAGCCTTGTAAGTAGATTAACAGTTTGTTTGAAAGAAACTCACTAAAATATTACTCCAGAAGCTATACATATGTAAAATACACTGTGATTGTGATGTTATATATTTATATGCATCGTAAACTTATATGATTGGTAAAAGAAAACATTTTTTATATTGAACTTTATTAAATTTCTTGCACTATATGAGTTTTTTTATCTACAGTGTAATAAAAGATAGTGAAACAAATTCAACAATGTTTCATATTCCATCATTTCATACGATAATGTCATATATAAGTGTGGTCTACTTTTTGTCGACGCATATCGAATGGTGTTGGTTTGCAGAACTTCTCGTAATATTACAAACAAGGAAAGGTGCTGAATCAAGAAATTCAAAAAATTATGAAACTTTGTGTCTAAGTAGAGTAAGTCAAGCTTAACACATTACATTTTTTTTCGTGCCGAGTTCACTTTGAAGGAGTGAAACCATTCCTTGCAAAAAATGCAGATTTTTCTTTCCTGTGAATTATCTTGAAAACGGTAAGAGATAGCGAAAGAAAATTTAAACAAAAAATACACTGTTCTTTCACATCTATAAAATTGCAAAATAAAATTTTTCAAAAAGTTCATTTTGTTTTACATTTGTACTTTTTGAGAACTTAAAATGGTTTCACCCATCCAAAGTAAAACTGCAATGTATTAGGTTTAACTTACTATACTTACACATAAAGTTTCATAATTTTTTCAATTTTCGGGTTCGATATCTTTTCTTGTAAGTACGTATTTTGTCATGTCAGATTGATTCAGTTGTTAGACAAATATATTTGCTGTGCGAAGAATGTTGATGCTGTAACAAACATAAATAACTGAACATTATTTTACATGATATTAATAGTGTATTTTTATTTTCACTTTCCACTATTGAAAAGAAATTGTCTCTCAACAATTTTTATAAACTTGTTTGAAATTTTTTTATAGGCAATTACAATTTTTGTTCGTAGATATAAAATACACTTTTAATATCATCTGAAGTAATGTTCAATTACTTATGTTTGCTGTAGCGTTAATATTTTTCTCGAAACAAACATATTTGACTAAGACTTGAAACATATTCTATTTATCTAGTCATTTATTTATGACATTATGTGGAATGGCGTAACGCAGCATATCGTTGAAATATTCTCAACACAGTTTAATTTACTGTAAATAAAAAAATATAAAATTCTACGTAAAAAAAATTAACTTGACCTTGAAATTTCCCTTACTACTACACCCAGTAAAAATAATTTATACTTATAATATGTCTATTCGTATTAGACAACTTTTATGTAAACTTTTCAAACTTTTCACATTTAAACTGTGAAAATGTATTTGTTTGTCTTTACATTGTTAACATTTGAGTAAATAGCTTACTAATTTCACCAACCTTTTGACGTAACTGTGCCTTTTGGAAAGTTTCGAGGTCTCTGTAGTTCATTGATGAATCATCTGGAAGCAAGCCTTCTTCGTCTGAACTTTCACCTCGGCTTTTTCGTGTTTTTCTGCTTAATAAGGGACTTGATAGAAGTCGTCTCCTAATTGGCGAAGCTGACGCTGGTCTTTTCCCCTTCTTTGAGGGTGCTGGACTACTTGGAGAACTTCTAGGCAATCTAAAGAATATAATTGTTGTTTATAAAATGTTGATTTACACATAGATTGAATTATAGTTTCTGTAAACGCTTTAGAACCGTATTTTGATGTAAGTAAATAAAAACTCCAGATTAAGTAAACAAATTCAAGTCGCTACAAAAATTATTTTCACAAGAAAAAGTTACAAGTTGAGACATTCTTTTTCAGTAACTATTATTCGAATTATTTGTTAAAATTCGGGGAAACATATCGTGCGATGTAATTATAATAAAAATCACCGATTAATTCTAAAATTTAAGTTAAAGAGGTACACACGGTAGTAGGTAGTGCCAGGATTGTTCATTGGTATTGGTATAACTTATTGAGGGAAAGCAAGCCGAAAAGTATATCTTCTTATAGGTAATATTATCTTTTATTTTCCAACACTCTTTACGTTATTGCTTCAAATACGCACAATTTGCAATTCTTGTACATACGTAACTGATACGTGTTATAAAATGTTTTCTTTCCTTGAAAGCAGCAACATTGAATCAGAAATTGAATGGTTTGATTTGCAAGATAGAAAACCAGAGACCTCTGTTTATTTATTTCCTTGAAGTCATATTTACGATTTTGTATTAAATAAAAATAATTTATTATATGACTCAGACTCATAAGATACGTAATATAATAGATGAAAAAATAGAGAGAAATAATATATAAGAAGAGGAAAATTATAAATAACAAAAGAATTATATATAATATGAGGTAAAGTAAGATATGACGGAAAGAATGATTAGCATATGCTGAGATTGATAAAATAAATAAATAAGTGAATGAATATTATTGACATTGTTAAACATTTGATTATAACAACTAAAAAGTCCATACAGCGATCACGTTTTAAGTAAAGAGTAGTGCCGTAGATTTCTAAATGATATATTAATGTTTTCCTCAATGACACTAGAGCACAGTATTTTAACATTAAGTATTATAGTTCATTGAAAAATAAAATATGACAATAACATTTTTTCCTATTTTCAAATATTACCATAGATTTTAAAAAATTAGATTATAGTTGTGACAAATAAAGAAAATTGAATATTTTGTATACTGAATTGCAA